TGCTCGTAGACTACTCAGCCATCCCATGAATTGTAACTTCTACCAATTTGTAACCAATTAAAATTAATCTGATATTCGCTAGTGACTGGCTACAGGATGAAGTTACCCGAAGTTCTAGTGGGAATCCGTGACCAGTGAGGTCGAAGAGTGAGGACAAATACTCGCCGTCGATGACACTGCCCGGTGTCAGTAGCGCTAAAATCATGCATTTGTGGAAGTTAGAATTTATGGGCTATCAAGTCAAGTCGCAGAGGCTGAATGGCCTACGAGCTTCACTTCTAGCCAGAAGACCGTGGGCTCGAACCCGTTGGTTGTTGTGCGTACTGCCGATAAATCTCAAACTAGGACTATAGAAACAGCTATCCAGTGCTTCATGTTGGTTTTTAATGCTTTTCTAACTGATATCAATCCGTGGTCAAACTTGAAACAAATCAAATCTCTACAAATTAAATCTTCAATATTTCAGAATATTTCCAGTTGGCTGTAGATAGAGTTATTATTTGAGTGTCAGTAAACATCAGAATTACAAGCTTAAATCCGAAAATACTTATTTTTCTAGACTAATATATTTTTTACATTGCATATATATATATATATATATATATATACCATATTTGTGAATTTCGGTTGCGGCTTCCGATATGTACACTATTTATTGTCTTACTTGGAAAAAATTCATAGAATTCAAAACATATTAGACAGGTGAAGAATGATGACAGGAAATCATGAAGCTATGACGTGGGTTAATTTCACTCGTCAACAAGACATATCTAGAGCGTCACAGGGATTTTATTCCCTAAGAGACTCAGACCTACTGAATCTAATGCTGCAACCAGAGGTGTTATCTCTGAGGTATAAGAGGCTGGCAAATGATCTCCAGTAAGACTGCATTCAACAGACTGACTGATCCTTGAAGAAAAACCTCTTTTATGACATATACTAATTAGTGATAAGTCAACTCTGTTTGTCAGGTTATAAATGTATGTCTCTGGTGAATGCAAAAAGGCAGGAATCCTACGTAGATGACACTCTTCTGGAGGCTTCCAAACATATAAAACCACCTCAGGAGTCATGATGTTGATAATGTCACTGTGTATGATATGTTGATTATATCCTTACCTTAGGTTTCCATCATAATTTTAATTTCATCCGAGGATGTCGTCGCAATTTGGTTGCTAAGAGTGATCCATTAGTAGAAACAACATTCATGAAATGTCTTAAAGTGAAAAAAAATTAATTTATGACGTGTTTGCTGAAGTAGCTTGTTTCCTTTCTACCCTAGGTAAATATAACTCTAACTAATTCAGTCACCAATCACAAGCATATTTAACTTGTCACAAGTTTGGACTTAATAACTAATAATAATTAAGCAGATGTTGATTCATAATCTGTGGACACAGATACTGTAGGGAACAAAACTCAAACGTTTTAGGCACAAAAACATTATAATCACTGGACTACTAATGTTGTCATTAATAATTATTGATGAAATTATAAGTAGTTTAGATTTACTGCTTAAGCATAAAAATCCCAAGGTGTTAAGCTTATGTGATGCATAGGAGTAAGAATTTTTCCTCAATAGAACAGAAGTTACATACAACTGTTGCTTAATGCTTGGCTATAACTGCGTAAAATAAAGATAATAATTGCTTTCAATATTAACAGTTTATGCAAAATAACACGGAACTTCGTTTGTTGTACATCATATAATATTAGTAAGCGTTCTGTGTATTTTTTATTCAGACAATCAATTAGCTACTGACACATCCTAAACTGCTCAATATTAAGTTAACTAGGTTTTGAACAACTGCGCAATACTTAGATTGAAAACGAGAGTATTTTAAACACAGAAAAACCTAGCGAATTATTAAGATTTCAAAGTCTTACATTATGCAAATGACAAAAGTCAACGCCTCGAATTACTTGAAAAAGTATGCGCTTGTGCGCAGCTCTTCAATGCCATTGGGAATCTTCTCTAAATCATCCAGAATAGTGTGGTCAACAAACTCGAATACAAGATATAGTCTTTTCTTTCTCCTAAAGACTTCAAATAGATTCACCAAATTTTCATGACGCAGCTGCTGTAAATAAATATGGAATAGTTCAACAATTTACTTTCAACACTCGTATTTCACGAAGTGCTATTTTCTTAACATGTTTGTCGTCTTCACTATCAATGAACTATTTTACCGCTACAATTCGTCCAGTCTCCTTATTTTTACACTTTATAACCATGCCATAACTTCCTTCACCAACTAATCCAAGGTTTTCGTACTTTTCCACTTATATCATTAAACTGAAGTGCAAATGCCATCACGAAATCACCTTTGCAAAGTTAATTTCTAAAGCTTTGCGTAACGCGCCACGATTAGTATTTCAAACAAATTTAAAATGAAAATATTTTCTAGTTAGAAATCTTCCCCACGAACATGATCAAACGAGAATCGTTAATTGTTTACAATTACTCGGAGTCAATACTGGCCCAGATTAAATTAATGTAAGGATTTATGACGTTCAGCACCAGGTCAATTATTCGTGAAATTTCACTAGATTAGAAATATTTTCCCCTGTATATTACTATCTTTATTTAGCCATAAAATATGGTTTTTAATTACCACTAATAAATGTCCCACTGTGACAAGTTTTAAAATCAATGTTATCTATCGATGCTTAATGAGTCCGCGACATTTATAGGATTCAGAGGTTTACACAGAATACGATTGGAATCTTGATAGTGAGTTCATATAATTGTAGTGAAATGAACCTTTTAATGTTACATACACGCATAACATCTGTTCACCATATCTTGATGGAGTTTCGTATCTAAAATCCACATTTCACTTCACCCGTCTACCTAGGTATTAATTTCAGTTTCACTTCATAGCTGGTCCCGTATAGAGGTAACTGTTGTGTGCCTCTTCAAATGAAATCCTTGCCCCTACAGTGATGATGCCCTGACTAGCAGTCCAGACAGTAGTAACAACCTAACCAATATAACTGTGGTGGGTTGACTGACTTGAATATCCATCCCTAGTTATCTTTTCACAACATCAATAATAACTTACGCATTTTAACTAATTCTTCAATTACTATCCCTTACTCATGACCTGTGTATCAACAGTCTAAAACTGGTAAAATTCTTTTAGGAGCTAATCACTGTTACTTTTTATTTTTTATCTTACACTTTACTATAATGCTATGATGAACCACTGACAATTCTCCGCTTTATTACCGCTATTTATGTTTGAATGTGTTAAGTTCAGCACCATAGGGCAGCCGCTCGTTCATGGACTGTTTTTCTCTTCGGTGCTTACGCAGACAACTTTCCACCCTATTTTGTTCAGAATGTTCTTGTGAATTCTGAGACACTATACAGTTGCGTTTATTTGATTATTTTGACTGTCTAGCAGTCATTTGTAGCTAAGGGACCTCGGGCTCTAGTTGTCTCACGTCATCACTGGAATAATTTCTGCATTAATTCATATTGTTAAGTAGACCCACAAGTTCCTCCACAGCCAATCATGTATTGAGGTTGTTCGAATAAAGCCCTTGACTGTATGAAATACCGAAGTTTGGTGAACCAAACTCAGGAAGGTGGCTAATCCCGTTGGTCATATGAAACTGCATTAATTCATTGAATTCCTGCGTCCAGATTACTACTCCTCAGTCCTGATCTTTAGGACTGTAAATATTAAATATTGTACTATTACGAATCCAAATAACGATGTGCACTACATGAAATCTTATAAACGCCTTAGTGACATCTCCGTACTTCAATGCGTCACTACGCAGTTTGCTCGTTAACTTCAGAGAAGCCTAAACTTTTCTAATGGTCATCACCCTATTACGATCAGTGTACCTTTCCTTTTACTCTGCAACACAAGGGCTGAAAAGCCAACTGCAATGTGCTTAAAGCTCCACAGTAATCATGCTACCACTCGCCCCTCAATCGAAAATTTGGTCACCTAGCCTTGACGTACAAGGCAGACTATATTGACTCATGTTGGAAAATAAACTAGCCGCAACAATTAATATGAGTCAAGCTGTTGGTGGCCTTCCTCATGAACTGAAACCTGAGTCAACAACTGATATGCAGACTCAGGAACGATAGGTTGCACTTTTATGGTGATAAGATAATTAAGGTAGGTCTGGGGGTAAAACAATCTGAATCCACCTATGTGAAATAACTCCCACTGTTTTATTGATCATGATTATAGACCAACTGACATATCCATGGTGGTTTTTTGATTGATATATTTTTCTGTAAGATATACGCGTTGCCGATACTGATGTATACTTTTCGGCACAAATCATCATGCATTCTCTCTTGAGCTCAGCTGGATGGAGAATAGGCAGCTGCCGTATAGTGGTGTCAGCGTAGTCAAGCGGTATTCTTGATCAATGCATCTTTGTCTAACTAGTTGTCCCCAATAAATTCAATTTTAAATGCGAACGAAAGAACTAGAAGTGTTACACAAACTCATCATATACTGGCATACGAACTGCTGACGTTCCTAGTGCTGCCTCCATTGTTGCCACAATCAGACTCCATTTTGTCAGGTCTGTTAGGAAGACCTATAAGGCCTAAGAATTATATCCACATTCTATTTATTTTAGGCTTAAGGGAAATTTATATCAATAGACCAAGTGGGCAGTTTTCAGTTGGCTAGCATCATCAGTTGTTACATACTTGCTATTTAGTAAATTTGAAGATAACGCACTCTTAAAGGAACACAAAACATGAGCACGATTTTCGCGGAGCTAAAACGAGATATAAACCGTTCAAATCGCAATATGTTTGACGATGAATCTCCCAACTAGTAGTTCACGGTAGAGTACTTTGATTTCAGACATGAAAAAGCAAACAAAATTAAGCGCTAGAGATTTTTCGTAACCTAGGAGTCAAGTATTGAAACGAGGAACGTTAGGAATCAGCGACACTTTCAAATATGTTTTCTCTGATATTCATTTATTTCTGACTGACATATAATCCTCAAAATTATGGGCTGAATTTCTGAAAGACGTGTTCGTCGAAAAAGTTTTTTAAGATAGTGGCTCGGTTATAGCTGCATTACCTTCCTGTGATATAGTGAAAACTACTAACTCACGAATTGGTTCGAACCCAGTTCTCGTTGCTGGAATACAGTGGAAAGATGCTCTGTTGGAGACCTCTGAGTTCTGTAAGTTTGAATGCCCTGTGGAACCTATCCAGAGGCAAGTAAATGAACTTCAGTTTGGTCGCATGGCACTTTCAATCTCAAATAACACCGAAAACCGTTCTGATTTTGGCCAGGTTAAGTTTTTATTAGATGTAACTCGGTTAAATCCAATAGCCTGCTTCTTAGAAGAACATCCTTAAATTTCTCCGGACAAGCTATTTAAAGCAGAAAATCACACTGACTGCTTGGCTACGTAAGTGATAAAGCGTATAGCCTTATCTCACCAGGGTACAGTTTACATCTCGAAAACCTACAGGTAAAAAAAAGTTAACGGCAATAAGTCAGGAGAAGAAACACGTAGTGAGCTCAGGACCTCAAGTGAACATAGAAAAGACAGATGTGATGAGGATGCCTAACCAAACAATGACAGGCACCAAACAATAACAACGAGAGGAATTTGAAGGAAGCCATGTCTTTCACTTATCCACGTGGCATCGTTTCAACTACAGGTAGCAGAAAAGACGATGTTAAAAGCAGGATCAGATAGGAAAGGCCCACAATAATTTAAAATCAATGTGGAAATTTACTGTGCCAAGCATAAATAACAACATTCAGATTTCCAACACTAATTTCAAGTTTTTCAGTTCTTCTGTGCGGTTCAGAGGATTGGCACACGCGTCACCGAAGGCGTTTGAAGCATACTGCAAATCCCTATCAACAGATGAAGGTTAGGTGGTCAGCCAGAAAGAATGAGTAACAAGAAACTCCGGGAACGAATCAATCAAGGGTCTATTGTTCAAAAATATTCCGATAAAATGAAGATGGATCAAACACGCACTGAGAAAATCATTGGGTGACATCGAACGCCAGGCTATCACTCAAGTGAACCCCGAAATTGGATGCGACGAGTTGGGAGTAGGTCAGAGGGTGATATAGTGGAGATCGTGTGAGAAGGAAATGAGAGCTCACAGATGAAACGAACATGTGCTGTTATAGGCCTATGTCTTCCTCACAAATAAAGGGAATAATGGAGTGATATGAACTTGTTAAGACAACCTGTTTACAAACACGCCTCCAAAAAGTTAGCAGGCGGCTTAGGCGAACAAAATACTAATCACCACATATCATCTTCAAATAGTTCAACTTCTACTTTAGACTCCAATCACAATGCAATATACCTACTATATGATGACAGCTTATAGCAGCTGTCCGACTGGCAATTTTAGTATCACAGCATCTTCATGAATAGTCTTCTAGCCAACCCTGCCGATAAAATCAACAGATAATACCCATAGGGCAATGCCTGTGGGTATGCTATAGAATAAATCAACATGACACCCTTGAAAATAGTCATCTTTTGACAAAATCCTATACTTACCATTTGAAGATTGCTCACATGCTGAAGAGGTATTACAGATATCAATCATAGCTTGATCAATTAAACTTGGTGTTTCTTCTTGTGTATCTTAGACTTCCTTATTGATCAATGGAGCTCCTTCCTGAAGGTGATAACTAGGCATGCGTAACACATGTCTAAACCATCTCAATCGATGTAAACTCACAACCTCGTCGATTGATTTCCCCTCCTTACCTAGCACTCGACGCCTAACTTCAATATTACGCACCCTATTATACGATCTACGACGAGAGATAGAAGGCAGGCACATACGATCAGAACAGCCTTTTCATGTCTTACAACCATGAAGGAAGACGGAGCCAAGTGCTTAGCAGTATATGCGTCTTTTTGACGACAACCGGATATCGGTCGGTTTTCGACATAAAAACTTTGCACATATGTGCGGCAGTTCAAGTCGCCACAATCCATGTAGCACGCAAAGCAAGAGAAGAAAGTAGAAGAAATGCATAATGTAGACAGTAAACAGAGGTGTGAGACAAAGGAATAGTGATAACGGAGAACAAAACAGTTTAATTGGAAATCATAAGTCACAAGGAGTGGATGCATCTGCGCCACTGAGAACGATTTTGAGCCATGTCACCAATTGTTTCCAACCATTGGTTTTTACCATCCCGAGGACCCCAACCAGGAAGTCTACATCTACATCTACAACCGGATATCACGTCCACGCCATAGATGGGGTAAGTTGGCAAACGCTACAAGAGCCTTCTGTATCCGTGATGAGATTTCGTCAGCAATCAACCAGCTTGGGATGATGTAACTTTCCAAATTAGTGAAGTGGTCAACACGCTCTACCACTTCACTTCCTATATTTAAGCTAGGATTCAATGTAGTCTAGTCATGTAGATACCTAACCAACAACAATAAGTAATAGTTACCATCGGCAGGAGAAATCTAAAGGAAGTCAACCCTTCCCCTTATCTAGGCAGCATCATTTCAACAACAGGAGGTATGGATGGGGATACCGAAGTCAGAGTCGGAAGATTAGGACAGGCATTCATCACTCTCAAATCGGTGTGAAGATCTACAGCATTAAACACGAGAAAGAAGATCCGAATTTACAACACTATCGTTAAGTCAGTGCCTCTATACGGCCCAGGCATTTCCACTATATATATATATATATATAGTACAATGAGTGAGAAACAGAATGATGAAAACAGGAAAGTTATGACTCAGATGATCTTCCGGACCCCACCCAGTTAGTCATGACTCACTAACAGATGCTTACATACCACAACTAGTCTTCAACCCACAACGCCACACCATGGATTGAACACTACGCTTTTTCTCTAGGCAATCCAATGGACAGGAGACAGTGAGTGGGAAGAGGGTTGCTGGAATATTTGTGATACTTGTTCAAGCAGCAAAATTCGATATCTCAGAGTGAAATTACTTGTTGAAAGACGATATCCAAACACACCTTTGGACATCATAATTACTCACATTTTGATGTGAGCGATTCTACGTAGGTAGGGATTTTCGAGTAAATCTTGCGGGACACGTGATCAATGCCTTCGCAACCTGAGCGAAACCCAGCCTACTACCTGCGGGTCAGTTTTCTACGCATCTTACATAGCCTATGAAGCAAAGTAGTCAATGTTTTCCAGGTCACTGGTAACGGAACATTATCTCGAATAGTTATTACATGAATTGCGTTGGCCATTTTTAAAAACATGTAAAAAATAACTTACTTCTACGCTGATGGATCCTTATCATTTCCTCATACTTTCAAGAAATTTTCAGGTCAATTCCATGACTGGTGTCTAGACCATCGTTAAAAAGCCGGTGAATTATCTAGACCCCATGTACTTGAAGTTCCTCTCATTTGATGAATTAGTATCATCCCAATGTTGCGAATAATAATGTCGTTAGGGCACTGTGGACCAACTGAACGGTTTGTCAAAGCACCCAACCCAGCAATCCAGATATCTGCTCAGGTTGTGAGTCGATGTACCATAGCCCTCATATAGTCTGGCCAACACCAAGTTTCTTGCCGCTGGTGACTTGGATAAGCTGGGACGGCTTCCGACTTTTGTCAGATGTAGCTATTGATTCTGACCATCAAGTTCCTCAGCGGTGACATGAGCACAGTTTGTTTTGGTGAGTAAGAGCCTTACGTGTTATTATATTCCCTATCTGCCATAACAGACTAACGACCGTAAACAAGTTGGAAGGAACTCAGAGAAAATCCAGTGGTTATTAGCGGCACGCATACCTAAACAGCAGGGGCCTTGCTCTACATTTCCATGACTTCGAATGAAACGAATGCCCGAGATAAGCTGGGAGAGGGGTTCCAGTAAGAAGTTGTTAGCAGTTGCCACCAGTTTTCTAAGCAAACATGATAAGGACAACGTTTTCAATCCCTACCGAGTGGCAAGATAAATCTAACACACACTGAAGCATGATCAGGATCCAGAAGTGTCACAAAAGAATAAGTAGTCTTGTAGGCAATTATACCATCGGGTGCTGACTATAAAAACCTTATCTGTTTGAATTCAGGATTGAGTGGTGTTGGAAGGACGTAACGTAGCAAACGGTAGTGGTTGTGTCAGAAACTAGCGCAGGTTAGGAATAAGTTGTGATCAGTGGAGAGCTGTGGAAGACGGTTTGGATTCTGTAAACTTCAAAAATACAGTCGTGAATGACCATCCACAAAACAATTCTCTAGACAACCGGCCTGTGTATTAAAATCCCCATCTAGCCCAAGAGAATGTGGCATGTACACACTGAAGCTCTGGGTTGCAACCCATCGGCCAAAAAAGATAAGGAACCACGGACTCAGGCGACAAACCAGACAAAAACTATCACCTAAGAAAATATTCAGCAGGAAATGCAGGTGGATTGAGCATACACTGAGTAACAATCGCCCTCACAATCCGAAATGTACGCGAAACCTCTCTGATCCTCACTCATCTTTGCCTTCATCTTCATGTCTATTATCTTAATAATAATAACTTTTATTTCTGGAACAGAAACCAGCCATTTTTACAGGCATGAACATATGTACACTAATTAGAACTTATAGAATATATATGATTTGTTAATCTAGAAATAGATTGAATACTGGTAAATGTGAGAGAAATATTTAAAAAGAAATGTACAAATAAGGCAATAGGCAATTTTTGAGATCTGCTTTCAACTGAATAAGTCATGAGATATAGTATCAAATCTAAACTGTAATTGAAAAAAAATACGGTATGTCAATTTCACGCGGGAATTATAAACGATTCCTATACAAACTGTTAACGTAATTTGATAACTCACTAGGGTAGACTAGTTCACGGAAATTCCGATAATCATCGTAAGTCATTAGCTTTCCAAACTCGGCAACTCTAAACAATAGGAACCCAAAACGAAGCGACCTACCAACGCACAAATGACCTTGTCAAGGACCAATAAGAAGGCTCAAAAAAACGACAATAGTCGTCCCAGGTAGCACTAAGCGCTAGACAGTAGGCAATAATACACATGCCCTGCGCTTAGGGGTCGCCTCAATATGTCCTTTCTGGAGGCTGGTGTCATGTATCCCCAAAAACCTATTGCTGGAAAAAAGTCACCTGATCAGTTGCTTAAGGTCATTTGTGCGTTGGTAGGTCGTTTCGTTTTGGGTTCCTATTGTTTAGAGTTGCCCCAAACTCAACATCAACCATAGTTATAACTTGTGCTGGGGGGGTGTTTCTTTCTACAAGAGTTATTATTTTCGATTTTTCTTCAAAACTGAGTCTTCGAACTTCTGATGCCAAGACTCTGGCATCCCGAGACCTTGATGTATGTTGTGTTTCAGAAACACGCATACAAGACCCAAGTGTGGTTATTCACCTAACCCCACCTGGCCAACAGGATGAATCTGCAAAATTCACATTGAGGGTGTCAGGAGATGAGACGGCTAG